GATAATAACTGTAGAAAGTCTTTTCTGGTCAGCAAAAATTCGTATATAATATTTAAGAACCGTTTAAATACTTTTTGATATTTCTTTAGATTAGGAGACATCTCTTCAATGATCTTGACTTTGACATATGTTGTCAAGATCATAACTTTAAGTGACCTTCAAAAAGTTTTAGGTGGCGATCATTGTGCGTTCAAAAGTTATTAACAAATAAAGTTTAAAAAATATCTTATTTTTTCTATATACTGACGGGCATACGATTTTCCACGCAAAGGGAAGTCCACTTCACCTCCCCCCCCCCTTGTTTAGAACAAAGTCGATGGGGTAAGTCTCGTTTCGCGTGAGTCCTATGCCCCATGGCAGGGAGGGAGGTGGGACAAACCTCCTTTCGCGTGAAAAGTCAAACATCTCTAGGTAGGAAGGGTATAAGGTAGTTTTTAATATTGGATATGGTAGAAATAAGATGTTATTTTTTTAAACTTTATTTATTAATAATTTTTAAACGACCGCCATCTAAAACCTTTTAAAGGTCACTTGTGTACACTATCCATCATATAGGTACAAGGTGTCCTAGACAGAAAAATAATGAAATTTTGAAAATGAGTTTTATATGAGTACATCTCGAAAAGTGTGTGTGTGTATACTACTATAGTATACATGAGACAGCCAGTTAATTTATAAGAAAATGAGAATTTAGCAACGACACGAACATATGTATGTATACGCAATGACGTTCAAGCATATGTCAAGCGGTCAAGCGACTCGTTTTGCATTTTTATGCACTTGACGTCGCGACGCTACCGCGTTGTTTGATCAGTACTCTCATCTCTATGACATATGTCAAGGTCAAGATCATCGAAGAGACGTCCCTTAATGTAAAAAAAATACCGATTTTTTTTACTAATGATAAATATCTCGCATTTTTTTCCAATTGTTTATCAATTCAGATAATTTTTTATTTAAGTTAGTTTTTTAACAAATTACACAATGACGTAGTAACATATTATTTCCTCAGCTCGTATATCATCAAAGATAACAATTAATCATATACGGATTTTAAAAAAATAGCACTTATCTTTCCATGAATTCGAATTTCTCAGAAATGTTGCGCGAAGGAAGAACACTTCAATACATATAGATAGAAAGACTCGCAATAAATAAAAAACGAAACAAAATCGAGTTCTGTGTATTAAATAAATGTCCATCTCTATCAATACAATTTATCTCCTTTCACAATATCATTATCTACGAAAATTGTAAAATTGATAAAGAAATACGAAATAGATAGAGCAAAATAATTATATATATACTAGAATATAACAAAACTATCAGGAAAAGTAACGATATCGTATTAAATTTATGAGAAGCTTGGAATACTTGTTGATGTGATTCAAGGTCTCAACACTGACTCACTGATCGTCTCAGTTTGACTCACAAAAAGTTAAAAAGGCAAAAACAATTATCGTAAAACCGGTCGGGCATTATCCGCGAGAGATTCGATTATTTGTACTCTACAATTAACGAAGAGCAAACTTAACATTTATCGGATCATAAGGTTAAAGCTATATATCAATAGATTTTTATTTGATAATAACATACTAGTTAATAATTGTGACATAATGTCAAATATAATACAGATCATATAACAACGATAATTAGCATCTTTTTTTTCACGAGAATTCATATAATGTTATCAATAATGACCGAATCGAATGACTAATTTGTTAAATAGTAAAAAAATCTTCGTGATGTTGTAGTATGTAATTAATTTTTTAAACTGTACAATATAATTGTCCACACGTGCTCAACAATTATGCACACATATTTATATATATTATTGTTTATTTATTTTATATTAAATAAAATTAATAATTTAATTTTTAAAAACATGATTTAAAAAACATTTAAAAAACACTTTATTCTTTACATTCTAAAAAAATAACGGTGTCTATACAATTCTCACTGTGTTGGTGTTAATATTAACATCAACATAGGGCAGAGAATTATATGGATACCGCATGGATATTAAATCCACACTGATATTTTTTAGAGTATACAAGATTAAGCAGTTTCTGTTGTACCAAGTATTTTAGATAAAAATCTTTACAAGTGTACATTAAAACAATTGTAGTAACAGGCTTATTATCTATTAATCATCTGACTTTTATGACTCTCTTGTATGCTCACTAAATTAGTATGCAGTTGCCGATATTGGTTCGACTCGTGAGAAAAATGCATAAACGAGCGCATATACGTAATGCTATTTCTCAAGTTATTCGAAATAATCTTGTTTCAGTTCACGTATTTTTATATACTATAACAGCAATTATACAGATTTACATACTTGCGGCGTTACGTATAATGATCTACGGTACGTAAATTGCAGCCATAAATTATTTGCAATAATGATACATGTATTAGCTCTATTCTTCCTTCATATATTGAAAATGTGGAATATCGCGTTAGTAGATTATTACGAAATGTATGGCCCGTTAATAAATGGATCCTTCTTCGAATCGGTATCTTCCTTCAAAGGGATTTCGTCACGACTCTCCATCATTAAAACGATTATAATTCCTTCTAAATCCGATTTACCTCGATCTCAGCCAAGGCTAAACGAACTTCGCATTCTTTTATAGTCAACAGGAAGATGATTTGTGTTGGAGATTCATGCGGTTTTAGTTACGCACAATTCGAATAACTGTATATAGAATATATTAGATCGTTCTTAGTAACAATATCCGCAAGTACAATTATGGATCATCCCAGAAAACCAAATCTGCAAGCGCTATCACATTTTCACAGAAAATCTAACTACTTCCGCTTATAAATGAGCGTTATTAATGACGTCAGTAGAAAGTGTTGTATTAAAAGATATATTTTAATTAATATGTTGCAACAGTCATATGATGCATACGAAAACTGCAATAAGAATGAGCAGCGACAATAAAAATATTAATATTTTACGACATAAAAAGAAACGAGACTATGTGTGATTATTTTTGTTATAATAATATTATCAATTAATAAACGGCTTTATTAAGTATTTTAGATATTTGTCTTATAGCATTAAAAATTAATATTACGTCGTCTGTACTAAGATAATTGTACATAACTTGTTGTTACTATTTCTAATTCTATCTTATCACAAATGTAAATTACAAAACGCGAGATCTCTCTAAGCACGATTATTGATCATAAAAATACGTATTGAATTAATTTTTTTGTCGTTAAATCTCGAAAAAAAATACGATGTTATTACATCATGCACTTAAGAAACTTGTATGGTATGTTTTTATAAGTAAGGTGATACATTCGTGATCGATGATAGAATAGAATATGCGAAAATTTACACATAAGCAAAATTGACACGCAATAACGTGATTGCAACGGCTTTAACCGCAACGAAGCAAACAGGAAATATTAACCGGATGGTTTGCATGTGCGATTTGATCGCTAATTACTAAAAAATCAATATTTTATATCGAATTAAAATAAAATAGAAACATTAAAATAAGAAATATAAATTGATAAAAATAATATTTGTTTCAAAATTATAACACATCATAAGTTTTTAATCAAAGACGATTCAAAATAACAGTGTTAAGAGAGTTACTTAATTAATTTACGAGCAAATGAAGAAACATTAATCCAAGTAAACAAAGAAATATTAACCGGATGGTTTGCATATGCGATTTGATCGTCGTCGAAATTCTAGACGTTAATCAATAATCACTATATAATCAACATTTTGTATTAAATTAAAATAAAATAGAAACAGTAAAATAAGAAATATAAAATGATAAAAATAATTCATTTCAAAATTAATACATCAATAAAGATATTTAATGGAAGAAGACTCAACAATGTTAAGGGAAAATTATAATTAATTTACAAGTAAACGGAGATTGCAAAATTACATGTTTAAAAATCTCATAGTTTTTTTTGTATCAAAATATAGATCTATTAAATAAGAGTTGTTGCAATTTCAACGTTAATTAAGAAAAAATATACGTGCTCGAGTTCGGAAAATCCTAGCGAACGTCATTCCACGTTTAATGTATGGAAACTCTTTAATTACAATAATAGCAGTCGGGGAATCATTCTACTATTAGTCAAAGTAATGATATGACGTTGTTACAATTTCTGAAGGCTACGTAAGTATGTTAGAATACATACGAGTATAATAGTAAATAAAAAATGTGAATAATTAAAGATTATTACTAGGTTAGATTAATGATGAGTTAATGAATAAATAAAGATGCCTATTTGTACCTGTTCTGCATAAAACACCGTTCAGAAAAGATAATTACTAGTTGATGCAATTTCCAAGTAATCACATTTAGTAGTTCTTTGACAACCAGATTCCTATTTGTTCCTATTATTTTCATCGTTTCCTTATGATCTAACAGCGTCTTAGGAGTAATGAAAAATGGCTAATTGATGGCTATTAATTTCTGCGGTATTAATTTTTGTAATTCAAACACACACACACCCCCCCCACACACACACACACACAACACACACACACACACACACACACACACACACACACACACCAATTATTTTGTTCTCATTAATATTAATATTATTTTTATGGTAAGAAAGAACTCTCTTATTCTAATGATATGACATAAAGAATTTCGTTTGACGTATTTCTCTTTAACATTATCATAACAGAATGATCAACGATGAAAAACCACAAGATAATTATTCGCACACACAGAAATTACAGGCTGTATATATTAAATTATTAAGTTCATTGTTTTTCTTTGCGTTTTGAATTTCGTTCGATATTCTTGATAGTGTTCTTGTTGATGCACATGATTGCATCTTCGCCTCGAAGAAAAGTGTTTCAGAGCGCACGCGCATACTGCCGGGGACTCCCTTGGAAAATCCAAAAAGTGGTTGCTCGGCGCGGTGCGGCGTGCAACACGCGAAGAAAAGCGATGGAGGTGGAACGTTACATAATTACATCAGGATCAAATGCGTGTCGGACAGATGACTATAAAAGCGGTGAGATTAAAGGATTCGCATGCAGTGCATCCTAGGAACATCGAATCCCGACACCATGGCAGTTCGCGCTCTTAGCTTAGTGCTCCTGTGTACGTTTGTCACGGTCATCTTCGGATTGCCGACTTTGCCAGGTGAGAGAACAGATCATATTGCATATGAAATTCTTAATAATGCATTATTGTAATCATATTTAATAAAAGTCTTTTCGTATACAGTGTACATTTTATTTCTTTGGAAAATCATATAATTAAAAAAATTTTTTCATTTTTACATTTCAATAATAATTAATGAATTTGGCATTTAAATGTATTAACTTTAAATATAATAATCTTTAATGACATAAACAATACTTGTAAAGTTGCAAAGCTTAATGCAAATTTTTCTTACTTAGATAACATTATTATTTTAATGTTTTTTCATGCAAATTTGCAGAATTATCATTTTCTTTATACAAATACTCATTTGATATGTATTTGATATATTTTAAATATTTCATTTAGTCTTATTGTCTGCGTTGTTATTGCAAACAGTTCTTTATCCATTTGTTACATATTTACATGTTTTTTTGGAGAGTTTAAAATACGGCGAGCTTTGTGATTTATTCATATGCAATTGACAAGATCACGTTTGTTTTCAAAAATAACAATGATGTCAGGATGCACGCATTGACATGTAAATGAAATCGTCAATTTAAAATTCTTCACACGTCAATTTACGTCAATCGATTAGTTTTTTATTTTCGTTCACGTAATCGATTCATTTTTTATGCGATTATCAGAGCCAGCTGTAAATGCACACAAAGAACGCACATTATCGACCGAGCTGCAACCGCCCGCGCCGTCCTTAGACGAGAAGGAACTCTATTCTACAGTCTATATAATTAATTTGTACGCTGTAAAAAATAGCAGCAGCAATGTATCGGAAGAAATGTTTCAAAATGAAGTCGTAGAATCGTTACCTGACATAATAGGTGAGTGTAAATCAACGAATGACATACGATGTCTCTCTCTCTCATATCTTGTCGGGATATTTTTTCATAAATTCTATTTGACGTTTATTATCTGTAAATTAACGAGTATCTTGCAAGAAATGATAAGCAAGAGCGAATGGAGCCAAGAGATTTCTTAGAAGAGATTTGAATAAAAAATATGTGCTTGCAGAGCCACTAGTTTCTGTCATCCTAGTAGTAGAAGATGAAAATGAAGAGTCAGAAAATAATCGACCTGTCGATCTCGACAAATTTGCGGAAGGATTGGAAGGCGAAGGTTTCAAGGTCGACAAGATCGATCTCAACAGCAAGATGAAAGTGCTCAAGATGAAATTGGAAAAGGCGGAGGCCCAGAGTATGATAGACTCGGTTTTGAAGGGTGATCAGAAGAAATTCCGTCAAAAGAGGTCCTACTGTGTGAGATGTGGAAGAGGATATGGAGGTGAGTATTCGTGGACATTATCCAGGTGATGGCGGTGGAGGGAGATAGGGTAGGTATCTGAGCGGGGGTGGGTACCAAGCAGGGGTGGACATTATTCTGGTGATGGTGGCATGAAGGTAAGTCATAGTCATAACTGCGAAGAGAAGTATAACTAATCGATGAACGTCGGCGAATACTTATCTATTAACTTCAATGTTGAAGTATGCCTGAAACTTTTGTACTACAAATATTTTATCGGCTTGAAATTGACTCTTTTCTAAATAAAAAATTAACATTAAATAGATATAAAACTTTCGGAAAAATAAGTTGTAAAAAATAATTGGTAGAAAAAATAAATGGCAGAAAATTGGCTATATAAATACTTTATATATCAGTAATAATAGTTATACAGAATTTGCATCAAAATATTGCATTAATTGTTGTAAAAATGAACAATTTGCTGTGCATGTTTTTAAGAATTGAAAAGCATGTTCGATCAAATTGATTTTCCTTTGGATTCTTTTAGATATAACGACAATTAATTGCATTTTTCCTCAATTATTGCACGCATTATGTTGAATGAAAAATAAATTATCAAATGAAAAATAAATTATTAATGGTATACTGCATCATAGGTATTTTCAAGAAACTCGTTTGAAAATAATGCTTAAATACTAATGACAATTTCAGGATGCAGCATCGAGTTAATTGAAGGAAGAGAGAAGCTGTATGAACAATGTTTATTTTTTCTGACTAATAAAATATTAAATAAATGATATTAATATTATTAATAATCATAATATTAAATAATCTTTTATATATAAAAAAAATATTAATTTTAATTAAGACATTAATTGACAATAACAAAAACTTTTTGTTCGCTTAGCTTTTTTCAGCTAAAATTTGCAATTTATAATAACAGTAATAAACGTAACGTCTAAAAAATATCACATATCCTAATTATATATTAATATACATTGCTATTGCTAAACTCCATCATAATTGCGCATAACAGGGGCACGCTTTGTCTAGGGCATCAAGGTTCTATAGCAGTGATACCAGTTTTAGTCGTACCTGTTTCTACAGGACATCATCATCATCATCATGGTGGTTATGGACACGGCGGCGGCTGTAGACGTTGCGGGTAATATTCTACACTGATCAATACTTATATGATTTCAATACTTTGTATGGTAATATTCTGCAATTGATCAATACTTGTATGGTATTCATTATAGATCTATACTTAATTCTTTATTAAAATTTATGATTCTAAAATTATTGCTATTTAATTTTGTACATTTTAAGTAGTGGTGGCGGATACGGTGATGGTGGCGGATACGGTGGTGGAGGTGGGTATGCTTCTGCCTACGCGACAGCCCAGGCTACCGCTGGAAGCTGGTAAATATATTAGCCACAAGACAATTCATTATCATTAACTTACATTTGCATCGATTGAAACATCATTTCCTTTTTTCAGGGGAAAAAAATGAGCAGAATATACATAATCACGTAAACATGCCGCCATTAATGATTTATGCTGCCTTCATGTTTAATACACATACATATACAGTACAAAAAAAAACGTAGATTTTTCGAATGCTATAAATCATTACAAATAAACATTATGAATAAACATTAATACAATATCCAAAAATAACCTTAAAATATTGTAACGCGTTTCCTCCTCATCCGTTTGTATAACAGACACTTGTACTGATGCACAGTGGCCGCGAATAAATAACAAAACAGGTTTGGCTCTAACAAAAATTACGATTCATTGCTTATTCGGACGTAAACGACTTCTTAGAAATAATTACGAGGTTCGTGATTAGTTTTTCATGGAGCTTCAGTAGAAGAAGCACTGCGTGTTAACGAGACATGTTGCATCTGCCTCCTCGCGTGGCTTTAATAGTCCATTAATTTCTACACTTCTCGATAAATAACAATAATAAAGCTGCACTTATAGTAATAAGATAATATATCATCGCTATCATCTATTTTTCGTTAACTCTTAAATCCGTGAAAACGGAAAGTTTTCTCGGAGAAGATCTTAATATCCCGAGGAATACTAATTCGTTAAAATTTCTTCTTCTCTCTGACGTGATCATATTAAAAAATTTAATTTACACAATTAAATATTTTAATATGATCACGTCAGAGCTTCGAATATATTGAAATGATTATCTTTTGAATGGAATCAAATCTAACCTGGGAAAATATGAGTCGTAATATGTGGAGAGATTATAATTCGACGACAAGCGATAAAGTTCATCATCCAGGTTCGTGAAGCGTAATGCATGCTCGAATCCGTTCCGCATTATATCACATGGAACCCGTTCCGCATTATCAAATCGTTGTAATTCACTTGGTACCCGCAAGCGGCGGCGCCATAATCTTGCTCGGCTCTTTTCTCGCATAACGTTCCGCGATCGGCGTCATAAGTAACTCACACGTATTTCTACGGTGGGATTTAAACGCCACAGCCACAACCGGGCTCTTTATAAATACGACCGGTATTAGAGCGACACCGCAGCATCCGCGGAACGATCTCAGCGATGCGCCGACTGTCCGTAGCAGCGAGTGGCAACGATAATTACGGCGCGAGTTGGATGAATGTAACGGTAAAATCTTTCGATTCCTTTCTTCATCTTTCCGGACAGAGAGAAAGAGAGTACCCGACGCGGAACGAATTACTCGCCGAAACGCGAAACCGGATCGAACTACGATCGGAAGCGGGTTCCATCGGACAGGCGTATTCATCTCGCGATATAGTTGGGCGCGCTCGCACTTCAAGCCGACGATCCCTTCGGCAACTTTATCGGTGTGATTAACCGCTGAAAATAAGAACATTACGTTTAAAGCACGAGAAGAGCAAATATAAAGAACGTAATTCGCTTCATGCCGACTAAAGTGGACTATCCGCTAGTCATTTACTATATGCGTCAGCAATTAATTTTTTTACTGTTAATTTCACGGTCGTATCTACAACAATTATAAGATCGCATCTTAAATTTTTTAAAATTTTCTTTATTTTATCTTTCCTCATTTACAATTAACTTTTCATTTTTCAAGACTTCACCTTTGAAGCTACTATTAAAATTAAGGTCAGGAGATCGATATCAAGCAAGATTTGATAAAAAGCAAAAAATAAGACACGAGAATAAGTAAATAAAAATAAGAAAGTAAAAAATAGAATAAAAATGCAAAGTGTTTAATTTGTTGTCTTAAATTATTATCTTTTGTAAACAATATGTGCAATTCTACACACATAAATTAAAATCGATTATTTCAAAATCAGGGGTGGGCATGTATTTTAATTAGAAATACTGTTATTTGAAAAATAGTATTTTTAAGACATTTATTTTGTATTTTGTATTCTAACAGAATACATGAAAATATTGTGTAGTTTGTATTTTAAATTGTATTTAAATAATAACTAAAAAATTGGCAATTAATCTTATTATTTGTGAATTACAAAATATATAAAACTTTCAATCTTTTGATTTTAAATACAAAACACGTATCTAATACTTTTATGTGCTCCGCTGAAATACAAAATACACTTGTATTGCAAAAATTGTGTTTTACCTATAGTGTTTCAAACATATACCCACCCCTGTTCAAAACTTCGTGTAATAGAAAAATGCTATTTGTTTAATTAGGCCTGTGTAAAATTGACTAAATCTAGATGGAACAGAGAAATCCAATTTTTTTAAATCTTGCAATATAAATTTTGAAAATCTGACGTTTTCTTGAAGTTCTGGATAATAATAACAACGGTTTTGTGAGAGCAATGGCACACAACAGCTTGAAGAAAATGTAGGTCTGCGGGTCGTCGAATGCCCATTGACTCGATCGTATAGGCAAGGACTCCTCTTCTACAATCGAGCGTATTTTCTATGGTCGTTGACCGTCGCCGGCCGGCAAGCTCTGTGGACTTCGCGACCACAAGTCGCTCTACCAGGAAAAACTGGGCGAACCAGGGACAGACCATAAAAACTCACTCGGACAAGCGAAGTAATTATACGTTCGGTGGCCTCCCTCGAGTTCTCTCAGAGCGCTCCGAAAGTGCCAAAAATGTGTGGGTCACTTTCAATACATCTTATCTTATTAATAAATATCTCAAGTATACTTTGGATGTTGCATTTAATTTTCCTGTTTTTAAGACTCTTGGATTTGTATTAACGTTTTATTTATACGTGATTTTAAAAGTACAATAATTCTTTGTTTGCTTTGCAGCAAATAAGCGCTGCGTAAATTATATGTAAAGAAATTTTTTTAAATTCCTTTTGCAAAGCAAACAGAAAATTATTTTATATTCGCTTTTTCATTGTTATTAGTAATTTTTAAAAATTATTTTTTCTCAACGTACAAATATTTGACACCTACACGAATTTTTTTACTAAAAATATATTTAATAAAGAGTAAATGTAAGATGTTTTTCTCCAAAAATAATCTATTGCAAACTTGGTAACTAAACCTTTATAATAAAATAAGAATACAGTTTGTATTAATAATAATTTATGCACTTTCAGACTATTTATTTCCGTTAGTAAAACGTCAAAAAGTCATTAAATTATTATCATTAAAAAATAATCGTGACAGATTAATGATAGTTTCTATCTATAAGTCAATATAGTAGCTAATCCCGAGATTGATAAGGAAGTTATTCTAGCTAAAACCGGATTCTGCGACTGAAACTAATTAACGGTTTCTACATCGTATCATGTCAACGAACGACACGGTATTAAATGGTAGGAAATAAAAAGACTATAGATCACCAAGATTATAATCGAACTGTCACGTAAAGATACAGTGATACAATAATCATGAAATAACATTTCCGCAAATTGAGTCACCATCATACACACGAAAATGTTAGCTTTACATACAAATATTTCATAAAGATATCGTAAATGATAAATTCGCCGGCACGATTAGCTCAGTTTTATCCCTGTCAATAGACTCTAGAGTTGAAAAGCAAACACGTCTAACCATTTGAAACATTAATCACTGTCGATTGTAGCACGCGACTTAATCACTACTTCATTATTTCACTTTTTGTGACGACAGCCTATATCAGCGCTATCGGTAAATTAATGACGTTACCGCAGATTACGCCGGGCAAGTGAATAGGCCCATATTCCAGATACATCCGCCGCAGGTGTGCGAGAGTAAGTCGTCTAATCTCACTTGTACGAAATAAGAAGTATCGTGTATAATCACTATTAACCTTTGCGCTCGTGCGTTGAATTATGCTCGATACGCTCCGTCGGACTTTACTGTACGTGATATCGAATGTATCTTTTACGGGCTCATCTTGATCATATTTTAATGTTTAACTCAAGGCAAATATCTTTTTGTAAAAAAAAAAGATTAGATATTATCATACATCATTAAATGAAGCATTTATTTACTTATCTTATATTTGAACGAAATTGCTCTATATTCACATAATTTTATGTATAGCTACTTTTTAGATTTATTACATAAACGGATGATGAGAAATAACATTAATGTGTTTCCAATTAATTAATGTAAATTAGAGGAAGGTCACCAATACCGACATACCACTTTGTTTTTAGACAATATTTCTTAAACGAAAGGTAAAAATGCAATTTCAAAAACATAAATACAAACTAAAAAGTGTCTTCTATCAGATAGTATAAGTAGTTTTTATAATACTGTTTGCAATTTTGCAATAATTAAGTTTTTCATAAGTTATGCAAAAATGAGCGTCTGACAAAATGGGCTCCAAAACTGACATAGATAATAATGCCAACATTCCTATTCTATAAATAAAGATATCCTATTCTGTAAGAAAAACTAATTTATGAAACTATAAACATTTAAAATGACATAATATTATCAATAATACAGTCACTATTATTTTAATTACGCAATTTGCAAAAGAACGCTGTAAGAATTTTCTTCTCGAATTCATAGAATTTGTTTTTAGCTGATATGGTATAGAAATAAGCCACAAATATATGAATTATGAGTTTGTACTTCTTTAATTAGCTAAACAGATCACGTTTTTATTAGTATTAATAAGGTGCAAAGGTTAGTTTCTAAAAAATAAGGGGATGTCGCTTTAGGAGACCTATGTCAGTATCGGTGACCTTCCTCTAATTAAATTAATATAAATTAATTATATCTCCAAACATATATCCACGTTTAATTATTAGAGTCAAAGTGGAATTAATAATTATTATATGTCCTAAATCTAATTATAGTGAGAGTATTAATAGCACAGTATGTACACTGAAAGAAAAGATTGGCTGCTGCAGCAAATTAGATTAGGTAAAATATAGCATAGCATTTTTAATTGACTGCAACAGCCAATTTTTGGTTACGTTAGCCTATCCGCAATATCAATATAGGATTTCTATAGGCTAACGCAACCAAAAATTGGCTGTTGTAACAAATTAAAAATGCTATGCCATATTCAGCCAATCTTTTCTTTTAATGTAGTTTTACTCGGATGTAATTTTATTTTAGTACAAGGCACGTCTACGTAAAATAGGAGTATGTGTCAAGTGACATACACTTCACTAACGAGAGC